ACCGCTACTGCCTGGAGCAGAGCCAGTTGAAGCAGAGCCAGTAGGAGCGGATGTTTTGAAACCCATAGTGTCATCATAGCTCGGTGGAGCACTTGGAGGAGGATGCATTCCTGGGTATCCACCGCCAAAACCTGGACCACCGTCGAACCCACCGCCAAAACCTCTGAAGTATAAAGGTATATCACAAACATCCGCTTTACTTACAACCTCTTAATAGTGGGTATATTTGTAGCGAAAGAATAACTTGAGCTAGAACTTAGCTACATCTCGCTCCCCTTCTCGCTCTGAAAAGTTCAATTTGCCCTCTGCTATCCTGCTCTTCAGAAATGACTGCGTTTTCCTCAACACGTTGACGGCGAGTGTATTTTTCATTGGCGCGCATGGCAAGAGGCGTTTTTTGCATTATAGGCGTCAGTGAGATTTTATTTTGCAATTCATTAGAATCTCAGTAATGTACAAAAATCTTGTAATTATTATGCTCTGAACATATCTAGAAACAAAGAAGTTGCAGTTTCTGAATGTGTTCTGAGATTAGTAATGTGTCATGGTATTTTATAAAATTCAGAGGAGGGTGGGTACGGAAGGGAATTTTAGCGGTTCTCTTTCTTGTTATCTATATGAGTGTTCCCTTCGATGATGTCGATATTCTAAGCACATTTGGAAGCTTGGAAGACTTATTCTTTAGGTCTGATGTGGAAAAACTTTGGGTATCAGACTCAAATGAATTAAATCGAGGTCAAAAGAATCGTTCACGAAAAAATGACACAACTAAGGGACTAGAAATGTATTAACTTTGGAGTGCACCTGCAAAGCCTACAGGAATTCGAAGTAACTATTTGATGCTCCAACCTCAAAATTTTGCTAGAGAGGGACGTGCTATTACCACTAACGTCTTGATGAGAGGTCGTCTGCTATTGAAAACTCATAAAAGAAAAAATCCCGGCACTCTGAAAGATCACAGGCCACAACCACATTGTGGATTAAGGCGTTGAAGCAATTATTTTCATAAAATAAACCGCAAGGTTTCATTCGTCTCCAGTGACTTATACAGCAGCCGCTCAGACTGACCAACATAGTCGTGTTAAAACTTGCCCACTAGGAGAGAAACTGCGAGGTACTTGATTTTAAAGTAATTTGACTCCTACAACAAAATATCACAAGTGTCGGCACAGAGACACTATCGCCCGCACCACGGAATGGTGTTATAGCAGTGGTTTTGCGCGTAAGCAGCTGCGGCGCAAGCATCAGACTTATTCACGACAAATGGATGAGACATCTTTGTTCTATAGGTTAAGGCCTCGCGCGGGCCGAATTCTTAGTTCAGTCCGAGACAAATTTTGAGAGAAATACAGCTCATTTTTTGGAGAGTCGACTGACATCCAAACAGTATCTCATAAAAAAATCAATGACGTGTGGCAACGAATTAGATTTGGGAGAATTCTCAACAATTCCTTGTTTTACTTCAATCAAAATAACTTGAGAATCTGAAGTGTGGCTAATCACATAAAATGAGCGTCTCATTGAAATTGAATAAGTGTGGCGCACTATTCTACCCTTTACAACTCTACACTTCCCAATTGAAGCGGATTTTACTCGAAATTTTTCCATCTGTGGGAATGAGCTACAAATTTGTCGAAGGGTAGCGGGTGTCAAGAAAACGAAAAACATATCCATTTTCGAAGAGAGCGGTCGCGTTGCAGGTGCCACCAAACTCGTTTGGCGCCGACGCGGGCGCCTGTAGCGGGGAGGGTTGCTTACACTTTCTCAGGAAACAAATGCAATATTCATGTTCTCTAAGTCTAACTACCACTAAGATGTCCGTCAGACTCGGCACAGTAGCCGACTCTGACGGACATTTAAGAGGAAGAGCTTTGCAGGTGGAACCTGGACTGATGCCTGTGCCACAAGCGCAAGGCGCTTTCGCATTAACGAATGCGATATTCGTTTTCCACAATCAAGCTACTCCTTTCTGAAAAATTCAACAACGAAAACAAATATCAAGAAAAATACCCCCATTCTGAGTGTGGGACATTAAAATGTAAATAGTATCATTGTGTGCTTATGACGGGGAGATAAGCACCATTTCGTAAAGAAAAGGTTACAAAAAGGCGTACCCGTGTCGAGGAGGCTGAGGTCCAGCCCGAGAATTAGAAAGCATCGAATATAGAACGTATATTATGAAGGCTGCAACGCAAAAATTGGCGATGTTCTCCGTAGTCAACCTAAACAAGCTGCCTTGAGGTCCATTAAGCTAGCACTATCTCGTACTTAACCACTATTCAACTATTACGACCCCAAAAACTCAAAATTTTATTTTTCGTCGAAACTTCGCCTATAGGGGTAATTCGGTGCCCTGACGAAAATGAGGTTCATTTTTGGCGCTGGCGCCATTTGGCGCCAAGGGTGTTTTCACCAAATTCGCTGAAACTTGCACATAGGGGTTATTTGGGGTCCTGATTACGAAAATGACACCCGTTTTTGCTGGCGCCATTGGCGCCAATTTGGCGCCAAGGCTGTTTTCACCAAATTCGCTGTAAACTTGTATATAGGGGTTATTTGGGTCCTGATTACGAATATGACATTCATTCGGCGCTTTGACTGTTTTCGGAAATTCGCTGCAATGTTACTGATAGAGGTGGGTCAGACACAGACAACGAATTAAACCTTTATTAAGTTAGCGCAGTGTGGCGCGGGGGCGGTGGGGGAGAGGAGCGTTGTTGCCCATCACGCGGCAGCATGATGGTGTCGGTTCCTGAGACTAAGCCTCGAAGAAGGGGCGAATTTAGGGGAAATGAAAACTGCTCACGCACCCTGGAGTCCCCCCTGCCCCTTAGCGCTTAGCACTAACGCCAGCGCTCTAAAAGGATGTCATATTCGTAATCAGGACCCCAAATAACCCCTATGTGCAAGTTTACAGCGAATTTGGTGAAAACAGCCTTGGCGCCAAATGGCGCCAGCGCCAAAAATGAATGTCATTTTCGTAATCAGGGCACCGAATTACCCCTATAGGCGAAGTTTCGACGAAAAATAAAATTTTGAGTTTTTGGGGTCGTAATAGTGAATAGTGCCCTCGTAAGAGTTTAGATACTACTCTGGAGAATCGAGCAGCAATTTAATACATTCCTAGTGGGTACTGACTCTTCCTTCCAATTACCCTGCACGACTCACCAAGAAGACCACGAAGACCAAGAAGATAAAGAAGACAAAGACGACCACTTTGACTTGCTTTTTCCTAGACCTTTCGCAGAATGAGCGTACTCCAAGTCATATTCTAGCTGGAAATCATGCTTTGATATGTGGTCTGCCTCTGTCGGTAACAGCACATTTCGACTCACCCCACAGCTTCCTTTCAAAATATAAGGATCCTCGGGATAATCGTAACCTTCGCATGTAACTGTGACCTAAAATGTCTGTAACTTTGGTGGGTAATGATGTAACCCTAAATTGTACGACTGATACGGGTACTGGTATTTTTTGATAGAATTTAAGATGAACATTTCCGACATTTTCATCCCAAGAGACAAATAAAATCACACCAACCTGGCCGAATTCGAATTCAGCAGGCATGTCAGCTACACATCTCCACTGATAGTCCACTCCGTCAAAGCCTTGTTTGAAACATTGTGCAGCCCGCGGTTTAAACTTCCCTCGCGCACTGCCTCCAACACATTTCAGTTGAGGGACAGGACTGGATCTTCTACCTAAATGTGCAACATGAATGTCTCAAATATCTAGTAATCGTAAGAAGCGACGGGTGCAACTCGTAATCAGAAAAAAATGTAGGATATGTACCTCTCTAGAACACCACATGGAGTTTAGGATAACGAACAAGCGCAATCAGTCGTAATGACATCCCTATTTTCCCGTTTTGCCGGGTCGAAGTAAGGCCGCGGTCATACCATAACCTGCTTTACCCTTCGTTTGCAGTTCAAGTGTGGAGTATCACGCTTGCTGACTGATACGAATCTACTCTATGAGAAATCGCAACATCACAAACTATGACCCTGGCCTGATCTAACCCAGATCCCTGGACTCCGCGTGCAGTAACCTTTGAGACTTGGTTTCCAAACCTGCATCTCCGCTGTTCAAGCGCTGATCCGCTCAATATCCATCTAGTTTAGTTAAAACTAAAAAACTAGAAAACGGCAGGAGGGCGCTGTTGGGTTCGTTGGACAGTAAAGCGACTTCTTCGCGCTGGCGCGACACATTAATCGGGGCGCTGGACCTCAGATCCACGATGAATGTGGTGTGGTGGAGTTCCGAGGTCCCGCAGCCGGAGAACTGTTTCTGGGCGCTGCAACGGAAAAAGCTCACTTCTGTCCAATTGAACACCAACCTGGCAAGAGGGATCGGGCGTGAAGCGGATTACGAAGGCAAGGTGTGCGTGCACGGATTACCATTACGAGGACGCCAGTTAACGGGTTTCACTAGGAAAACGACATTTCATGGGCGGGCCATCTCGGCCGGCTACGAGGGATCAATCTGGTAAGAAACTAAAGCAGTGGACATCTCAAACAAAAAAGTGCGGTACGCGTGGATGACCATTCGGCGCTTCCCGCAAGTATATGATCAACGTCGACTGGAGAAGCACGACGTCTCGTGACACACGGGGCTGAAAATAGGTGGTGAGGGATAATATTCTTCACAACATATCAGCCTACCTAACACCTCAGACACAAAATGGAATTTTCCACAGGCTAGGCTCATGATTTCAGGGGAATTGGCCACCACAGTCGGAAATAACTCCACTAATGTTTACTCCTAAGGTCACTCATCAGAACTAAAACAGGCAAACACTCCGCCTCCCCTGCATACTGTTCTTGGAGGAAACAAGATAAAACAGCCTATACTTCTTCGTCGTAAACAAGACAACTGATTCACCAACCAACTTAAAGAGAACTCGCCGCTCGATTCAGATCTGCATAGTTGAAGTTTCAAGAAATGAGACCTCGTATCGGCGGCCGACTATGATGAGGGCTCAGAATACTCCTGCCCCCAACTGCTCCACGGAATCGGTCTAAAATTTCCTAAGTGGGAGTCTACGATGTTCATCACATCGATTAAAGAGAAAAAAAAGCCATCTCACCCTCCAAAGTGAATCTAAACCAGACATAAGAATAAGAAGCGATAACTGTGCAACTGGTCAGAGCGTAAGTAACGCATCGACAGACCCGTGACGAAATCCTCACTGCGAACATCACAGACTGTACCGTCCGACGCGTACGTAGTAAACGTCAGCATAGCGCAAGCATTTCGAAATTCCACGGGACACACGAATGGGGCGGAGCCTCGGCTGGTCGGGTGCAGGGTGAAATGTGTCGAGGAAATAGCGGTAGCAGCGCATGACCAGGGTAACTACTGGTCGGGGACCTCCTCGACAGGGAGGTAGGGGGTCGTATAATGCTTGTCAGGATGGGTCATGGGAGAGGTCGTGCTCGTCGTGGGGCGTCAATAACGACGGGGGTCAGACCCTGCGTCTGCGCAAATCCAAATTTTCCCGACCCCTGCCTTTCAGAGGGTATCCGTACGACCTCCCCCTGATTACTATTGTGTCATGACATAATTTATTCTCGATGCAGTGGTGTAGCGGCAGTTCATTGCACAGACGAACTGGTGGACGTCACGTCAATCAGCGCGCTCATTCCCTCTCTGGCCGGACGCATAGTCGGTCGGACGACAGCAACGACTGCTGCTGTCGGACGACAGCAACGACTGCAGGTGTCGCATAAACCGCGGTCGCAAATGGAAGGCGACGCGGTCACCCAATGCTAAACCCAGACAACACGTGACTGCGCGTGATCGTATTTCGAAAGTCCCACTGTAGTGTGGAATAGTAGCTGCGTATTGATCTACGACACTTACCGCGCGTCGCCTTCCATTGCAACCGCGGTTTGCCACCGTTCATACACCGCGGTATTGACGAAAAAACGATATAGCGCTGAAGGCAAATTAGCGATAATGCGACCGAGAGTGCGTACGCGCCGCAACGCATGAGAAGGCGACCAATTATGGCGGGGTTTTTTTTTTTTTATTTTTTTAAAACTCAGTTCAGATATGTATCAAATCGTCACCTGGAAAATCGCCTCAAAAAGATTGTAATCGCTATATCGTTTCATCGCATAATCGCTTTGTCGTCTACTCGTGGCATCGATGAACGCTTATTGGGCGGAGCCTTTTTAGTCGATACGCACCCACAACGTTCAGCATTATCGCGAAATCGTCAAACCGCATAATCGCATTGCCGCTTTTTTTCCAGATCGCGATACCTATGCTTTACTTTCAGCATTACAGAGCCAAATCGCATTAACCGCGGTGTATGAACGGGGCCATTTTTATGGCGTCATCACCTTGCGGCGTCGTTGCTGTCTGTCGCGACGCAGCGCGTCGGACGACAGGCACGGAGCGCGCGAGGTGTCGCAGATCGAATACGCACCCCAATGGCTTGTGCGACACTTGCAGTCCGTTACGTGAGTAACTTCGTTGCCGACCGATCTATGCGTCGCCTCTGCAGAGGAGAGCAATCACCGATACGCAAATGAGGTCTTTATTCACTTCGTCCCAAGGCGGCGGGCGGCCGCGCCCAAGAGAATGAGATAGGAATTGCAAATTTTTTGTGCGCTCACACCCCGAATACATGATAATTAATGCACAGTAGACATTCTATTGCCAGAAAGCCTCAAGTTTTTTTCTCAATTCCTCTTAATTTCGATTAATTATCGGATAACTAAACCTATGTGAGCTTCATGTTACACATAGAAGTCCCTGCCATCAGAAGGTTATTGATTTCCAAAAGCTGGTTTAGGCGTGACTATGGATGGATTTCCGCAACGAAGGGGTTGCACATGTGTCAAAAAGCAGACTGCTTACCTGCTGCATAGCTGCCTTACCTTGGAATACCTCGTTGA